ACCTATCTTCCACTTATACACTTCGATCAGGTCTCCCCTCATTCTTCGTCTAACAAGTGAATGTAACTTAAGAGTCTTCAATCTTTCTTCATAAGGAAGATTTCTAATGCTATGTATTAATTTAGTCATCCTACGCTGAATGTTTTCTAACGAATTTATGTCCATTTTGTAATACGGAGACCAGAACTGAGCTGCATAATCTAGGTGAGGCCTTACTAATGATGTATAAAGCTGCAGTATGACCTCTGGACTTCTGTTGCTTACACTTCTTGATATAAATCCCAGTAATCTATTTGCCTTATTACGTACGCTTAGGCATTGCTGTCTTGGTTTAAGGTTGCTGCTCACCATAACCCCCAAGTCCTTTTCGCAATCTGTATGGCTAAGTTCTACATCATTTAACTTATAAGTACTAGGGTTATGGGCACTCCCAAGCTTCAGAACCTTGCATTTATCTACATTGAACTGCATCTGCCACTTTTCTGATCAAGAATAGAGTTTGTTTAAATCCTCCTGAAGTTCCATAACATCTACGTTTGAATCAATTATCCTACCTATCTTTGTGTCATCGGCGAATTTGCTCATGTCACTAGTAATTCCCTCATCAAGATCATTGATATATATTATAAACAACAACGGGCCCAAGACTGATCCCTGTGGAACGCCACTTGCTACAGATCCCCACTCGGACTTAACCCCATTTATGGACACTCTCTGCTTCCTGTCAGTGAGCCATGACTCGATCCACTTGGTGTAATCGGTGATCATATTCAAGGCTCTCGTCAGGGAATGAAATAGATCGGTTCCTGGAAGGAGGATCGAGCCTATGTTGTTTCACACAATTATATTCAGCTCACTTGGGTCTGGGAATTTCATTGGCAAGCCATCACAAAGTATAAAGGTGGTGATATACAGAGCTGGAGAGAGATGTTACAAAACACAAACACGACGCATTAAGATACAAATGCAGTACCATAGTCAAAGTATATTTACTTTCCCAGAAGCAAGTTTAGCTCGGTCTAATATTCACTATCTTGTTTTCAAGGCTGTTCGGGTCGTTGTCTGGTTATGGAAGAGAATCTCGTGGGCGACGACCTGGTCAGGACTTATTGCCACTCTGTTTGGAGAATGTTAGTGTCTGCTGACGTAGGTGTTGATGTGAGCTCTGTGGGGTAGTTGACGTAGGCGTTGTGGGAAGGTGACGTAGGCGTTGTGAGTAGTTAGATGATCAACCAGTTATTAAATTCATAGTGAGAGTACTAAGCCTTTAGGAGGTCATACAACTCCTGGGTGAATGAAGAGCATTCAAACTTGATTCATGGAGTTGAAGCTTAAGTTCAGTTTCTAAGTTGGCCAACCCAAAAGCATGATTGATCCTCCCTGACCTATATAATAATTCTGAAAGTCATGCAGGGCGAACTAAAGTATTTTTGAGCAAGCGACAGTATTTAATGGTCAATACATTTTTTATGGCAGACTGCGGGACTGTGTAAGACGCATAAACATTCCAGTCAGGTAAAACGTCTCGATTTTTAGATCAAACTTTTATTTATTGCTCTGCATATATATATATATATGTCGTGCCGAATAGGCAGAACTTGCGATCTTGGCTTAAATAGCAACGCTCATCTTGCCATATAGGACAAGTGAAAATTTGTGTACGCAATAATTTCGCCAAAGTCATTCTGAACCTAACGAAAAAAATATATTTCATTATGTTTGTTTAGTATTAAATTACTGTAAACAAATCTAAAATATATTTAGTTGGGTTAGGCTAAAATAAATTGCGCTTGTTATAATAAGGTTAGGTAAGTTTTCTAAGTTCCTTTTGGTGCAAAATTATAAATTTTACATCAACATTAGTGAAAAAAATATATCTTTAAACGTATAAGAGAAAATTTTAGAAAGGACTTAATTTTAAATGAGTTCTTGCTAATTGACCAGTTTTACATATTCGGCACGACATATATATATATATATATATATATATATATATATATATATATATATATATATATATATATATATATATATATATATATATATATATATAAAACCCAGCATTTAAAAGGAATGGTTAACCCGGTTACCGGAAAGATTGCTGAGACGGCTTTCGGAGAACACAAGGCTCGTTAACAATTCCTTGGCTGGTCTGATTTCTGACAAACTTAAACCTTTCTTTTTTGGGGCATCACTTTCACTATGTGTCCTTAAAAAGAAGAATGGAGGAATTGGGCCAGTTGCTTCGTTTCCAAAGATGCTGTCCGAAATATCCACACAGAGGTAACCATGATGTTTCAACCAAATCAGCTTGGCTTTGGGGTCCCCCGGGGAAGTGAAGCAGCGGTTCATGCAAGAAGAGCGTATATCAACAAACTGCCTGAGGAGAATGCAGTGGTAATATAAGATTTCAAGAATGCATTTACTCTCCTTAAAAGAGACGTGGTATTAGCGGCTGTACAAGAAATTTCCCTGTCTCTTCCACTTTCCTTTCAGAAGGATACAGCAAGGAATCAATTCTCTTGTTTGGAGAGCATGAAATCACGTCATCAGAAGGTGTCCAACAAGGGCATCCTTTCGCACCGTTCCTCTTCCGTATAGCGGTTAGTGAAATCACTGTCACTTTCAGTCAGATTAGGAGGTATTGGTGTCCGTGAGGCATCACAGACTGCATCACCTACTTTCCTGTCCTCATGTGTGGCATCCAGTGGACTTGTAACAGGGATTCTCTTTGAA